GGGGCTGGCGGTGGGGGCGGGGCTGCCTGTTCTACCTCATTTTGTGTGTTGGGATCGGGCTGCAGTCTGAGACTATGGGCTTCTTCCAGCACCACTGTCCCAGAGACGGTCCGGTCCCAGTGCCCTGAAGAAGGAATCAGTCAGCGACTCAGCTGAAACAGAAAAATAGGACAATCTTTCCAACACACCCACAGCAGTGGCAGATCACATCGTTGAACAGTGTGGACGAATCATAACCAAGCAGACTGCGAAGTTTGTTTCTGTCCGGAATGAACTCTGAACTCGCTCCGCAGCCCTGTTTTCTGAGGGATGGGGTCGTGTCCCCACCGCGTGCCGCCGCCCCTCGTGGGATGGGGGGCAGGGGTTGTCTCAGCATCGTTGGGAAAAGAAACAGGTGGCTTCCTGTTGCTGTGTTTCAGCAGTTGAATGTTTTTATTATTTATCTGTGTCCTTTTTTGCCGTGAATTTTTTGTTGTTAGTATTTGATCCCGTGTAGGGTTCTGTCTCCTCCCAAGAGGATGTGTATATATAACTTCAGAGAAATGTAAAGTGTGTAAATAAGACGGCTCGTGACAGGACCGCAAGACTGACCCCTCTGTGTTCAGGGCGAGGCCACCCCTCTCTGCATGGTGAAGAGAGACACTATTTTTCTACTGGCGTGCCATGTGGGGCCAGGGCCTCCCCGAAGCAGCGGGAATTGTTACCTAGATCCAATATTTTTTATGATGAAATCTGTGGCTCGACACACCTGCTGATTGAAATGGATGTCTTAGTCTAGGTTCCTATTTTGTCATATGGAGTTGAATAAAATGCAGGATGTCCTACTATTTCTGAATCACGTTCCTTGATTATTCGAATTGAAGCAATGGAATTTGAGGTGATGGCCTCACTTATGGGGGCGGGGGTGTACATCCCTGGTGTTTCTCTGAGGAAGGTCAGTGTGGGTGGGCTGCTCGGATGTAAGCAGTATCTCTGTGTATCTTGATTGGTCTTGAAATGTTTAGTTTTCCCTTTTTTCTAAAATAAAAAGGCAGCCTCCTGATTGTGGATTTTTTTTCACTTACGATGAAACAGGATAGAGTAGAAAATGCCTATTAGAGGCTGTTGGCAGTGTCCAAAAATGACTGCGCTCAGTGATTTTCCTGTCGTCAGCTCCCGGTGAAGGTAGTGCCTCCTCCAGTCACTGGGAAGATAGGCAGCTGTGCAGGAAGGACCTGGAATGGGAGGTGCCACTGTGAACCGCGGGCGCACCTGCCCCGTTACTCCCGGTGGAAGATGTTCTCGACTCTAAAAGAAGCTTTACCTCACCCATAACATCTGATAAGACTTACAACTTTAAATATTTAATAGCTCCTGGATTTTAACTATATAATCCATTTTCTTTTTTTTTTTCTTTAGTAACTACTGATACCTAGGAGCCACAGTAACTTTTACCTGGAAAGTGCCAGGTGATTTTAAAGAACTGAACAAGGTACTAACCACTAATTGAACTGCCCGGGCCACCCTCCCAACCTGTCATCAGCCTTAGGGATTAATCCATGTTGATTTCACTGCTAGTCTAGAAATGATGGGATAGAAAGTGACTAAATCAGTAAATTTGGGTTTTTTTAATGGTAAGAAAATAGCAAAAATGTCTATAACCATTTAAAACAATTAATATAAATTAAACGGTGGGGAGAGGACAGAGGAGACAGGGATATACTTCTTATTTCAAAAATATCTCCAATGTAAAACCAGAGGCGGTTCAGCTTCATAAGCCCTGGGTATTTGCTACTTTGTAGCATCAACCCTGGTTGCTTCGACTATATAACAAAGAATCAGAAATGCCAGCCATCCCTAAATATTATTTATTTAAATATGTTTCTGTTCTAAGTGCATTACAGGAACCGTTAACATTTAACACCAATTAAAAAGTATTGCTAAAGGGCTAAAAAGCAATTGTTCTTAAACTCTCCGCTGTTTAATTTCATCCCGGTGGCAGCTTGAAGGCGTGCGGGTTCCCTGCCTGCCTCTCTCTCTCCTGTGCTTGGCAGACACGGCGGCTCCTGCTCAAGCCTCACAAAGAATCGGGTCACGGCCACATCAGGGGCATTTCTTTATTACGAGGCTGCATGGATGTTTCCAGCCCAACCAACTTCAAATCACTGCACTGATTCTGGCTGTCTGCCTGATGCCACACAAGTCCAGACCCCTCAGCAGGTGACAATGTCACACACGTGGAATTCTGCGTCCAGCCACCCTGTGGGCTTCCAGGTTCAGCCCTTTGTGTTAAAGTCCAGGCTCACTCGCCCATTCCCAGACTGGGGTCGGGAGGGAGGGCTTGTTTTCTCCTCTGAGAAGTTGCTGGGGACACATGGAAAACAGGCCTGTTTGCTGACTTCAAGCCACCGTAAAACCTGATCTGCAAAACACTCTACAAAACTGGGAAGAAAATTCAATTCCCCTTTTCCACGTAAGTGGAAATAGTAAGCATTATTTCAGCTTTCTTTTAAGAAAGGACAAGTTTAAAGTGAAATCACCCTAGAGGCATTTTCCGACCATTCTGTTCACGTGTTTGTACCAAGTTAACAGGCCTGGGGGGTGGGCGTCTCCCCTGGTCTGTGGCCCAGCTTGGCTTGCTCCGCGGTGGGCACAGGACGGGTCACCAGGGCCACGCTGCCCTCTCTGTGCAACGTGACAGCTTCAGCCCCTCCCTCCCCTCCGCCTCCTTGTCTGTAAGAATGGAGTAGAATTTGATGGTATTAAAATCCTTCCCACTTCAAAAACTCTGTTTTTTAACAAGAACTACCATTAATGTACACCTTCCTTTTTCTCCCCAAAATTCACTAGACAGACTGACAGTATTTATAGAGAGAATATACAAATGATTACCTAAGAATATAACTGAGAAATCTATTACAAATGACTTTGCTAAAGAAAATGTGTGGAATCATTTTTGGACCGTGAGAAATATGTTGGTATCTTTGACTTTTTTTTTTTTTAAATCATTGAATTCATTGAAGCTTTTTAAAATGCAATTATATTTAAGGTGAAATAAAATCAAGCTCTGTGGACATCATGCTTACTGCGTTTTCTTGTAAAGAGTCTCGTAAGGTAGCCTGCTTTGCGTCCCGGGTACGCGCACACAGGCACAGTACGGCTTCTCGTGAAGGTGAGGTGTATATGTGTTCAAGAGAGTATGCACCTTGTGGCCACGGTTATTTCTTATTGTTCCTGTTAGTAGTGTCGGAGAACTTAAGCTGTTAACAGCGGTGGTCCTGTCCTAGTTTGTAACTGCCAGCACTGTTCGGTCTAATCTCTCTGGCAGTATTACAGATGGTTTCAGGGTAGCTTCGCCTCTTGCTCACCCCCTTCCGGCTGCATTCGGTATGTTCCTGAGCGAGGAGTAGCCCAGTGGGAGATAGTGCGCGTTGCTGAGACAGGAAAGAGATGCCATTAATGTAAGTACCGTCCTGCTCTGTTACGTCCAAAGTTCTTTATGTCACCAAATGAAACAGCGATCCACCAGCCAAGCCGGGGAAGCGAAGGGTGCAAGGACCTACACATTCAGTGACTCCCTCCCTGTGTGTGACTCAAACACGGAGACAGGTCGTTCCAAAATGGGACTATCTGTGAACATGGGAATTTTGTAACCCGCTCCCTCCCATACTTTCTAGGTTGGTATGATGCACATATTCTTAAGTTACAGTACAATCTTATAATCCAGGATTTTTACAGACATGTGAGTTGTTTGCTTCACACTCCATCCTGATACTTCATGGACTCACTGATTCCATGCCGTATATTTTCTTCCAAGCTTACCTTACAGGACCATTGAATTCAACTTCTTACAAGCAGGGATTTAAACATCTGAATAACAACTCATCGCATTTCTTTTGTAACTGGAAGATCTCTTAATTACACGTATGATACAGCACACTTCTATCCTATTTTTCCTATTTGCTGCATCAAGGAAAATTCAAAAGCAGCTTTTGTTATGACCTAAAATTACCCAGAGGAATTATGTCACAGCCTCCCCCAACCACCACTGCTGAGGACAGACAAGCAGCCTGGGAAAACATATGTCCACACCTCACATGGTGAAAGCCTTAGGGATAAATAATGGAAAATTATCTAGAAACATAAATCATTACTCATTTGAATAATTTAAGGATAAATTAAGATTTTGAATTATAAATCCATTTTCCTTCACAAAGAGGCCGAGTTCTGTTTTCCTAGGAAGTCCTCTGGTCTCGACCAGTTCTTCGGGGTGTGAGTATGTGCAGCGAGCAAGAAACACGGACACTTCCTTGACATTTTCTCTTCGTGTTTTGTCTGGGGCTTTCTGTTTTGCTTTGTTAGTGAGTTTTCCTCACAGCGTTAGGTGCAGGCTGCTCAGCGGACGCCGACTTAAAATGCTGGGTTTGGGATCACTGAACAGGCCTGCGCCCAGACGGTTCCTATAACTCAGGGGCCGGGGTGGGTGGGGGACTCAGGGGCTCCCTGGTACAGGTGGACCGTTCGGTGATGTGACATCGGTCTGAAGACACACGTGCTGAGTGAGAAGTCGAGCCGCCTGTGACTCCCCGGAAAGGACTAGAGCATCACTGGCGTGTGTCCAGAGGGGAGCACCATTCAGGGCAGCCGGTCCAGAAGCCGTACAGCAGCGGAGGCCGGCAGAGATGGGGAATGTCCTCAACACCCTTCCCCCCCCACCACCCCCTGGCATCTCACATCCTCTGGCTGCACTCAGCTCACAGATTTTCATTTAGGAGCTACAGGCCATTTGGGGAAATGAACTTTATCAATAAGTATTTGTAAATGATTAGCTTTACCTGAGGATCTCTGAACGTTTTCCATAAGCTCAGTCCATCTCATAGTGTGTTGTGAACATAAACCTCAGGGTTAACTCCTTGCCTGTGGGAGGCCTGCCTTCTATCTGTTCTCATTTGCGTGGCCGTCTTCCCCAGAATTGAGCTCCTGGCTTGGTGTTGCTGGCTTTTTCTCTGTCTGTTTTGACCTTGCTCCTATCACTTTTGCCAACAGTTTTTGCTGGAGAATAGAATAGAAAGAGAACAAGCTTTACATTGAAACCATAATTTGGTTGTTTTCAAGGATGATCCCTGAGGCTAAGCTCTGGACCCAAAAGCCTTTCCAGTGGCCTGGGTTGGATGCACAGTTTTAGAAACAGTCTGTGGTCTTCAAAGAAGTGAAATCGGAGCTGAACTTGGTATTTAACTGAAGACAAATCAAGGATTTCTCACAGGCCCTGGAAAGGGAGCAGATGATGAGTTCGAGTCCTGACACCCTCCCAGCCTGCTGGCGTCAGTTTAGGTCACACAAGCCACCTCAGTGGTACTCAGGGCAGCATGCTGAGCACCCAAGCAAATGCATGAGCCTTACCTGCTGAGCCTCAGGGAGCTGGCCAGGATCCGGTGTGTATCTGTGGGTGTGGGCATCTGTGTGTATGTGGGGCGTGTGCACCTGCTGGTCTCATGCATCTGCAGGGCGTGTGCCTCTGCAGGTCTTATGCATCTGTGAGGTGTGTGCATATGTGTGGGGTGTATGCATCCGTGGGGCATGCATGTGAGAAACACAGACAAGGGACCGGCTGTGGCTCAGCGTGCCTCGTTTCTGGGGCCGATCAGGCGTGAACCCTGACGCTGCAGGGTGGCCGAGGCAGTGCACTGCCTGCGCGGCGTTCTGTGGAGGCTGGCTGGCTTTGGGACCATCAGGAGAATAATTGTAGGCTGTGTAAAAATTATAAGAGCGTTAAAATCATATTTGTAACCACAGAAAAAAACTACCCCATACCCCAACCTAGCCTTTGGGATGAGCTGCAGAGGGA